CGTCTGGGCGAGCAAAGAAAAGCAGAGTGTCTGGGTTTATACTGAGGACCCCCCCCCCAAAAAAAAAATACAAGTGTAAGTAATTATGGAGGCCCCTATACTATGTAAAGAAGCCCCTCCCAGAACAGTCTCACGGCTTGGGTTTAGGGCTTTAAGATTTCAGACTGCTTCACGCCCCCAGTATAGATCTCCCTTAGAGCTCCTCTATATCTATCTATCTATCTATCTATCTATCTATCTATCTATCTATGCCCGATAACCTTACTCTAGGGTTTCAGGCCCTTTTCCAAAATCCCGTGCTCTCCTGCCTTGAACAGGTCCTCGCTCTTCCTGCTGCATGGCTGCAAAGTCGTTAAAGATCTGCTCTAAGCTCGTCCTTGGTTGCGAGCTGCGGTGTGCAGGGGGCCTTCGGGGTGAGTGCGCGAGGAACCCGAAGGCATGTTGTGTGTAATCATTCAGGCTTCTCGTTGAAAGTTTTACACCCTGGGCCCCAAACCCTGCAAAGGTTATTATGTGGGTTCTGCTAAACTGCTTTAAGGCTTATTACTGGGACCGTCTTCAGACGGGCTATGTACTGGCACGGTTGCAGAATGGTATTGAAGGGCTTACTGTAAGGGTTAGTCACGGTTCGGGGTCTAGAATTTGTTTTGGTGTTCAGTGTTCTACTGAGTCTACTGCTTTTGTGACAAATCCTGAATTCCGAAAGGTGCGTGACAATATCTCTGTCGGCAAGCAGGGCTTCGCAGGCGAAAGGAGCAAGCTAAGAGGACGTGATCAGAAGCCCCACTTCCTGAGAGCCCTGTGAGGCCCATCGTAGCATCTGCTGCCGCACGCAGACACAAGAGAACGAGACCCCAGGGACCGAGGAAGCAGGAAAAAACCCAAGCAAACATGAGGCGAAACAGAGAAGCACGGTGCCACAAACCCACCTGCACATTCACAGAGGCAGGGACACAAGCTGGGTCGTTAGTGGCGGTCTGAGAAAGATTGTGGAGTCAAGGGGGAGACACCTGACTGTACACGAACATAAACACAGAAAGATTCAGCAACGCCCCTCGCTGAAGCTTTGTGCAGGCCATGATCCACAAGTAGAGCCCAAGCTCTTCAGCCTGAAGCCCCAAAGCCCAGTAGGTCTGCAGGGTTGAAATGCGAGTTGAAACGGTTTAGGGCACCCAGCCACTAAAACACCACACGGTTCGAGGCAAGGCACTGGCTAACGCCATAGTCTTCGAGGGACAACTCTCTCCTCGCAGCACAATTCATGCAAGTTTCAAGATTGTGAATCTGAGGAACCCTAAGATTAGGGAAGCATCTCTTATGCGGGTGTCGAAGAAGTTCCATAGAGCCTTCCGAACTCCTGGTGCATCATGGCGGTATTCGCATGAGGTGCGGATTTTGGGCATCAGATGGAGGGCATTTGGATGTTTGACCTAGCGTTCCCAATGTCCCTTACACCCAGAACGCCACACGCTGTCGGTTTTCTCTGTTTGCATCTCTGGCTTCCGTGGGAGTTCGTCGTTTGGCGTTTGGGGTTGGAGGATGAAGGTTTCAGGCTTTTGGCGTGGTTTAACCCAACCGTGAAAGGATAGAAAGGGCCAGCAACCGCCGCATCCCAAAACTTGAAGGAGAGATGGGGCCGGAAAGCCCGGACTCTGATGGCTCACACGCCCCAGCTCTAACCAATCGAGACTTGAACTCTCAACCATCAATCTACGTCGTGTCGCGACCGGCAAATCTTAAAGGAATGACCCCGCACAAAACGAATGTGCACAAGGCCATATATACGGAGATGCCGTTTGGACCCTCCTCTGAAACCCTCAACCCGAAACTCTGAAGGGCTCGAAACCCGAAAGCCAAGATGCTGAACCTCCGAAGATCCTATGGAAAACCTCTATACGACCCCATCTGAAGTTCGTAGCCCCGAAAGCTCCCTGAACCTGCCAAAATCCCAACAGCAGCCCGATCTCCTCGAATCCTCGAGCAGGCGGAAAACCTGCAAACGATAGCTTCTTGTTCAGGAACGTAAGTTAAGTTACCAAAATAAGGAACGTAAGTCAACTTACCAAATAGGGGCCTTATTTTAAGTTAACACAATGGGAGCTTCATTCAAAATTTAAGTTCCCTAAATACGGATCTATAGCAGATGACAGGGTTTGTTTGCTAGGGCAGGGTAGATGAAATTCCCAGCGTACCATGAATCCCACACCCCAAACTCAAAGACTGTGAACCCGCCAAACCCAAACATCCCAAGACCCAAACCCCGAAGGCCTAAACGTAGCGTAGATACGAACGCCCGAACAAAAAACGAAGGCACTGCGGTTGTCTGAAGCCACGACCGGCTCTCAAAGGGCTTTCAAGGCTTCGTACGTGGGGGGTTGGGGTGTAGAGTTTGGTGCTTCGGGTCGGGTTTCGGTTTCAGCGTTTTGGCCTTCGCTGGCTCAAGGAACTTAACCTAAGTTGCCAAAGAAAGCCGAGGCTATGTTTACAGAACACCCAAATTTTGGCAAGTCCAACTACGTTCTTTGCCAAGAACCCACATAGTGACGAAGAACGGCCAGACGCTGGGCGAGCCCGAACTCGGAATCGGAACTTGCGAAACCATGACTCCTAGAAACTCCCAAAAGCGGCAAGCAGGATGCCTGATGGACTTAACGTATATGACCGTACATAGCTTCTTTCAAGGGTTTGGGAGTCTCCGGGCAGGCAAGCAGAGTGGGACCGAACATGCCCCTTCTAGTGTGTCTAAATGGGGGAATGAAGCAAATTGTCAGGAGCAGTAGAACTGCTCTGAGGAACTGTCGATGTGAAAAGGTCCCTGAGGGTCTAAATTCCCGCTGAGCCTTGATCACTTAAGCTTAATCTCGATGACTAATGTAGGGGGCCTAGGTATTGCTGAGGATAAGGATGCATGCTTAGATTACACTTACGACCATAATCTAGGAACTATAAGAGGACATTGTGGCTAATCATTCCGACACCTACATTAGCCACGAAGCCCATCTCTTCGAAGTTCCCTCCGCCCCTCCCAGGATCGCCTCTCCAAGAGAACTCTGTGCTGGAAGGCGGAAGCGGAAGTTATGCTCGTGCCTGCAAAGGCTCTTGAGCACCTATGTAGGGATACCTACAAGGGGTTACTTACACAAATCTTGCACACAGAAACCCTACTTCGTGTTTCGTAGAAGCATGTAGGTCTACATCTGCACCTAAACCCATCATACATATCCATCTGAAGGTACGCATGCTTATGAATACAGTGTTTACATGTGATACTGCATGTAAGAATAGGTATATGAAGAAGTGGGGAGAAAACCCAAAGCCCAAAACCTGCACTTGACGAACGAAATGGGGTTTCTGGTTTAGCTTTACGGATGCTTGGGTTGATCATACCGACTTAGGGACAAAGAGTCATAACAGGCTTGACGATTTTTGGATTTGGGTATCTCAGCTTGGGTTTCGTCGGGTCAAGGGATTGAAGGACTGCAGGGCGTTGGCTCAAGATTCATGCCGACTCTTCATACCTGAATTCCAAAAAAACCTGGAAAGAAAACTTCTGACACCTATGCCCTGTACTCCAGACTTCTTGGACCAACAGTCTCCCACCGAGTCCGGCCTCTCCAAGGCCACAGTGCCCGGAAAGTGCTGTGCCAAGTACTGGTTCAGCTTCAGAGCACTATCCTTCAGCATCCAGGGGCCTAGTACTCGTAGCAGTACTAAAGCAACAGCTTATGACAACTATTATGACGATCAATGTACAGGTATGCTCAGCCCAGCCCCTCATTATTACTCTTCCGATTAGTCTTGCCGCTGTTCGTATTAGGAATGGAAGATTGCTGTTTGCATTTAGTGCTGTCATGATTCAAGGCTAGTTTGCAACTGTGGGTTTGGGGCTTAGGATTTCGGCTGTAGTTGATGGCTACTGTTCGTAGAGACCTTCCTGCTGCAGTAATTCTTTGGAAGTTGGGCTTCTACTTTTTGATGGCTCTTTTACGTCGCAAGTACCCATTCTGTCGCGAACGCCTGTCTGACTGAGGCCGGGGAGGGCAAGAGGCTAATCAGTTCTAGTCATGGCACTGTGCAGGCAAGCAATCACCTTACCACATGTTGGAAGGTACAGGGTTTACAAGTTTCAGGATTGCTGAACCTTGATGTTCAAGCCCTTGATAGCCTAGCGGGGTTTGGGCACGAAGGCCGTTAGAAGGCCCTGTAAGACCAACAGTATGATCCCTGGTCCTGTTCATTAAAGACCCTAGCGAAGGCATGTGGGGGTTGTGAGCAGGGAAAGTTCAATGCTTGCGGTCCTCGAACAGCCACCACTCTGCGAAGTGGAGGGCAGAGATGGATCCTACGCTTTCGGATTCTGACTGTGGTATTTCTGACTGATCCAGATCCCGCAGTGATGCTTCGTTGTGGGCCGTGGGGCCTAAACTCTGACTCCTATGTAGATTCAATCTGTTGGTTTCTGGATGCGACGGAGGTTGGGGTACCTCTGGCAAATGCAAAGGGAACAAAGAACCGAGACCTTCGGGAAGACGGAGCTGGAAGACCCGAACTTTCCACCTGTTACCTCCCGGGTAAAATCAGCTGCTCCCCAAGTAGATCTACTTTTCAATATTAAAGAAGGACGTCTTCAAACGCATGCCGGTTGCCGCGAGCCCCACAGCACTCTGAACCCTGCACCCTACATCGAACCCTGATTCCTGCAAGCTCCGAGGCTTCTGGAGGTGCCATTTATGTGAAGACCTTCTGCGACTTTGGCACTTGCTCGTGGTAAGTGCCAGCTTAAGAATTAAGGGGCGCTTAGGCCAAAAGCCCGAAAACCACCAACCAAGGTACATCTCTTACAGGTACCTCAACTAAGGGGGTTCTAGCTAGTCAGCATAGTTGACAAGGAGGCAGCTGGGGCTAGGATCAAGGCTTTAGGGTTTGGGGTCGAAGCTGCCGCCTAGCCTCAGTTCTCGCATCAAAGCAAATTGCTCGTTGACATTTTGGGGTCATCTACATCGGGCTTTATTTGGACTACCTACAAATACGTCGACCGATAGACGAAGAAAAGAACTCGTAGGTGAGATCAGAATGGAGGCCGGTAGGAGCATCTGGTCCTTCACGGCTGAGGCTGTCATACACCTTGTCTGGTGTCGGTTGAGGGCCGAGTTCGTAAGTCCGTGGCAGAGAGACCCTCGATAACTAAAATGGGGTCTCACTGGCTTGAACAGAATACGGGTGCCTACTAGTGACACTAGTGAGTATTGCTGAGGCCCATTAAAGCTTTGGGGCTGCTGGAACTGCTGTATCCCAAGTTGTGCTGACCTGTCCAGGCAAAACACCAAATCGTTCAGGTGCTGGAAAGCAAAGCAATGCGCCAATGGTTGTCTTTTTTGGCAGCATGGTAGTTTGGGTGTGCAGCCAATGGATCGGAGCCTGGAGGTCGGCCTTAACAACTTCGTCGAACATGGCTTCGACAACTTTACAGTGCAGTCAGTCTTAGAGTTGGGTTTTCAGGGTTCGTTTGCCTGGTGCGAGTACCCCAGATACCACCCTCCTTCACCTCTTTGCCACTAGAGTCGGCTCTTGGCACCGGTGAAGGCAAGCACTGAACAAGGCTTAGGGTCTAAGCTGTGCTCCATCCTTGGCACCGAACGATTGAAATCCGGTGTCATCTCGCCCAAATCCTGAAATTCACCGTCTTGCAGGATGTCCACGGCGCAGCGCGCGGACGTCATGGCATGAGATCCCAACCATGCCCAAGAACCGACAGCCATAAGCTTGAAACCTTTGAGATTCCTAACTGCCCAAAGAGATGCGAAGGACATATACAGCCCGAATCCTGAACCTGAAGGACGATGACACCAGCGACAGAAACCCCAAAAACCTCAACCCTACCACTTAAGATCACTTAAGTCTCGAACCCCCGAGTCGACCCCAAAGCTTAAGCCCTAGAGAAGGCCCTAAACAGGCTTTCTAACAAGGCACGACGTAGCCTTCCTCGCAGCCTTGACAAATGAGAGCAGCTCGGTCTGGGCAGTCCAAGTGCTTTGGGTTCGCGGATTTCTTACATAATTATACAGCATACTGTAATTTAGTCTGACATGATGTAGTAAATCTAGAAAAATAGTGTAAGATACAGGTTTGTGTTGATCTTCCTAAGGTTTTACGGCTTTTTAAGGATTTCATGATGCTCTTCCACAGTTCCCACTAAAATTACTCTTTAAACAAGTGTTGCTTGGATTTTGAGGCTAAGGGCCTCAGAAAAACGTCGGCCAGTATGGGGCTTCGCGTTTGCGGCTTGGGACCAGCAATATTGGTGTCTAGCGGTTTCAGGCTTACGGTTTCGTATGGCATGGCTTCAAAGCTTGCAGCGCTGAATGAACAGATTGCGAAGATCGAAGGAGATATCATCAAGCTTGACTGAGTTACTAGCGACAGCTCGGTACTCGCTAGGCGGGAGTTTTCAGAGGCACAAGACAGGAACGCTGGCACTGACGCATGTGCGACGGAACCCTGCGCCCGAACCCCGAACCCTGAGTCTTAAGCTCCTTCGCCCCGAACCCAAGCCCTGCCTGGTTTACCGGCCGCAGTGCACTGCTCTGCCACAGCCGTGGCATCCAGCCGGTCTGGAAGCCTCAGATAAGCGTACTTGACAGTTTCATCTTCATGCCGTGTTTGACGGTCTAATTAAACACATGGCTGCGAGCTTGAGGGATCCCATATGCGAAACAGAGCTTCTGAATGCTCGGAAACTGGCAGGCGGACCCTGCAAAGGACCGCTATGTTGGTTTTGGGGTCTTGGGTTTCCAATTAAGAGGAAGACAGCAACAGCATCTCAGAAAAATCTACGGTTGAAGTGGCAGCCAGCAGGCATCATCTCGCGAACGAAGCTTTCGCACTCGCCGAGTGTAGCCGCGCACAGTCGGGCCTGTTCGTGGCAGCTGCTCGTCCCCTAGATAAACCCCGGAGCGCTCGTAAGCTAGAGCCCCTCAATCTTTGCGTCCTGCCTCCAGCTGATAGCCCTGCCCAAAGCGGGCTTTCAAGCGCTGGTTGCTGCCGAAGCAGCGCAGCCGCCCCCCGACCTAAGCTTCCAACAGCTCAAACTCTCGGTTTCAAGATCGAATCTCTTTTACACTTTCCTCTCCAAGGCGTCACCATGTCAACTGCCTGTTTCAACACAGTCATCGGAGGACCCGAGCAGCTGTTGATGTTATTTCTGACAATGTTGCTACCACGCACAGGCTTGTTGTGAGTAGTACTGCTAGAAAGATTGCACTAGCATGGCCGTCGCCAAACCATGATTTCCATGTTGCTCATGCAATAATGCGCACGCTGCTAACGACCCGGCAGATCAGCTCTGCTGGCTTTCAGCCTAGCTGGAAACGACTACATGCCTTACTTCTCTGTTAACACGGTTTTTGGACTTGTCATCTCAACTGTCAAAATTGATCTGCGTAGCGAATGCAACGCCAAATTCCACGAATTCCAAGCCCAATCAATTTCTACAGCTGTGACGGAGGCATCTCAACTTCCTGCTTGACAACCTCTGGCTCCTTCTCGTTGTTGCAGCTCGCTTCCACGGATCCGGGAATCCAGTCATCTGTAGCAGCTGCATGTAGTTTGCAGCCCTCTCGGCCGATGAGGCGAGGGATGAGATCGAAGTCTTTGTGCTTCTCACTGTTGTAGCTGACGCAAGAGAACTTGCAAGTTGCTTTGCGTGACATACCGCTCTGATCGCCTGCGATGCCTTGCATGGCATGCCAAACACAAGGCCCTGGCAGAAGTGGCTGTAGTTCCCACGGCGGCTCTTTCTCTTTGACACACTTTGGTTAGTTGATGCTCAGGCCAGGCTGAGAGACATTGCAAGCAGCTACTTCAATCCAGACAGAGGACTTGCGTTCCAGAGCCNNTGCAGCAATCTCAACCAGAGCACTAGCTCGCGAATTTCGAATGGAAGTAGTGCTTCCATTCTGCAAATGGCTGCGACATCTGGGCTGTGGAAAGCAAGTCCTCTGTCTGGTTTGAAGTGAGTAGTTGCTGAGATCACTTGTATAGCATCCGAAGCCCACAGCACAACGATGTCGGCCTGGTCCGATATCGACGTCAACGGCGGCTCGAGACCAGAAGGTCGCATGCAAGGGCAGCATTTGCACTGGCACACGCTCCTGGTTTATTTATCCCACAACGAGTCTTGCTCTAGTGTCGACACTAGACTCTAGCAACATGGCCTTGGAGCGCTTGTGGAGGCGGTCCAGCACTTTATACCCACTCCTTAAGCAAAAGAAGACTGCAAAGCATTCAGTACTGTTCAAGTGCAAGTACATATGCAATCAAAGAAGCCCTCGCGACAAGGACGGTGATGACCAGCAATACCCACCCGCTTACATGCTATCTAAACTCAAAAACCAACATGCCGCAAACCGACCACCTTAAATGCCTTTCTCACGAGGTTGGCATGTATTGTTGGCTTTGTACTGTTGTTCAGACTTGTGTTTCCTCTTTACACTTTCTTCACGGACAGAAGAGAAACTTCTGTGTCTTAGTTTGCAACACTATCTTTCATCTAATTTTCAGACCTCTGTATTACAGCTCACTCAGAGTGATTGGTACTTTTATTCTTACTACGATGATTCTAAGGGCTTCCTCCATGATGCCCAAGCTGCCATGATGCCAACACGAGAGCACAAAGCCTCGGCTTCCTCCATGTTGTGGGTCGTGAGGATGACCTGACCAGGCCGAGGGCCAAGGGTCTAGGTTTTAGGTCCAGGGGTTTAGGAGTTTAGGGGTGGCAGGGTTTTTGCATGCGGGGGATTTCTGGTGGCCGTGTAGAGCCTCAAGGTTTACCATTGGACTGTGCTTCTGGCTCCTGTACCTCGTTGTTTAGGTTCGCCGGTCCGCACGCCAAGCTCTAAGGGTTAACATTTGCGATTATGTGGTGATTGTAGACCCCGACAAAGGTCCAAGGTTGCTTGCTCTAGTACGAAGAACTAGGCTTTAGACCTCCGGCACCATTCCCAGTTTCTAAGGGCTTCCGTCCGTCGAGAGTCAGCGGCCAGCAGAAACGTGAAGCTACCCCTGCACCCGGCACATGAACCTCTAAACCTCTATATAAGCAAGTACGCAAGCTCCTATTATGCACAAGACCGCAAGCTTAAGACAAACAACACCCGCAAAAACCGCGGTGGAGGAGGGGGTGGGGGGCTGCGGAACTCCTTGCCCATGGACTCTGCTCGGATCCCGACTGTACTTTCTCGGCGCATCGTCGAGACGGCTGAAATGACATGCCTGAGGACGAACCGTCTTGAGGAGTCGACCACCATCTTAGAATTTCATTTCTACTAACTGTAGATGTGAATACTGCGTAGCCTTGTTCTGAATCGTTATTGAAGTCACCCTCTAGCCCGGAAGCATACTGTAAGCCCCTTAGCCCCGCAACAAACGACAGAATTCTCATAACTTATAACCCCCTGAACTTTCATTATGAACAACATGACGAATGATTCCTGCCGATAATGTAGCCTAAAGAGTTTGGCTGTAAGGCTTTCATGCACTCGATGCCAGGGCAGCTAGGTTGCCACATCAATCGTCGAGCGGCAGGATCTACGCCAGTGCCTGAGTTCGCTGTTCCGCTCTTTTTGTGACCGCTTTTCAATGCCCAAAATGGGAGCTTATATTAATATCTTTGTGTCCTCGCGCCTGACTATGATCAGACTGATGTTTTGGGGCAAGTTGTGCTATAAGCCTTGGGAGTTCCTTGTTGGTTTGGGGTGTCGGGTTTGGCGGGTTTAGGGTTCAGGGTTGCAGGTTTCGGGTTTACAGCTTTAGGCCAAACTCAGAGTTGAAGACAACAATCGTGCACTCCCCGAAATACCATTACTAACCTACAGCTACGATTGCTATCCTTTTTGTAACTATTTGCTAACTTTCAACCACGAATATCCCTAAATCCAGGTGCCTGATCTTAGGATTCTGGCCAGGGCCCAGAATTTGTTTGGGCTATGGGCTGCAAGTCAGAATCTGAACTTCGGGTTTCCGACTTGAGGCAACCTAATGTCCTAAAGCACACTGTACGTAAATATGAAGAATCTCAGAACCCCAAGCCCCGACGTGCAAGCTTTCTCGGCCTGGGGTTCACCTCGCTTTCGAAGTTCGGATCCCAAACTTATCCGTTTCGCTGCCGCGCGACTTGGCTCGTCGAGGAAAACCAATGGGGGCGAGGCCATCAGTGCGATGGCCAGCGACAGCTTGCCTTGGGCGATGCGCTCTTCGGACCCAGAGGCAGGGCCGAGAAGGCTTACATGCTTGGATGTAAGATGGCAGTGACTGTGGTTTAAGATTTAAGGGAGTGTCGCTCATTATGTACTTGGAGCCTTAGGGCCAGATCTCATCGTGCCGAAGCCTGAATCCCACATTTCGACCTCCCTGTCTATCCCACACCGTAAAGCCTTGCACGGTCGAGCTTGAATCCCCACCCAGAGCCCGCAGCGAAGTAGGTGTCAAATAAGGTCTAAGTTTATTGCAGTCTGGGGGTACATTTGTTCGGGTCAAGTTTCCAGAAGAGATTCCCGAACTCAGCCCAGATGCGCTTGTTCCCACCACTCAGCGTCATGGCCAGCTTGTCCACATGAGGAGAGAGGGAAAGGTCCTGTTGCCCGGGTCGGCTCTGAACCCCACAATCCCAGACCATGATATTAAATTCGTATATATTATGCGACACACTTCTAATGCATTGAGAACGAGATCGCCTGAGGGTCTACAAATTCGGCTAAGAGCTGGTCAAGAGTGTTGAGCCGTTTCTGGCCACAACAAGGATTGGAGCAAGTTTTCTCAAGGTAGGTTTCCACAGTCTATGCTTAGCTGGTCCTGTGGTACGTAAGCAAACGATGACCCAAGACCCCGCAGCCTAAACCACCAGAGCAGTCGATCTCACGGGTCAAGCACGTATGTTAGGGTTGTCGGCTTTCAGAAACTCTGCCTGGTGGACAACCGAAGAGGGAGTTCCCGGTAAAGGTGCCAGGAGCACTCCAGGAAGGGTTCGGGGAGGCCCAGGGGGTTTTCAGGGTTTAGGGTACGGTCCTGCATCATCTGATCGCAAAGCTCCTTGATCGCCTTAATGCTGGCCGCACGTCGCAAGGAGGGAGACAGAAACCCAGAAGTCACTCAGGCCCCGGAGCCCCAAAAGCCCCGAACAGTGACCCCTAGCCCAAAACCCTACTCGGAATCTTGCAAACTTGCCAGGGCACATGGTTCGGAATGCCCTTGATGCGTCCGAAAAGCTCCAAGTGCTCCCGAACCTTTCGGATGTGGATGTCGGGTCAAGGCTTGTGAGTTTGGCGTCTTTGGTTTACCGTGCTTCTGCAATGTTTCACATCCAGGGCACTCGGGATCCCTGCAACCTCTTGGTGCGACCTAAAAACGAAACAAAGCTTCACGAACACACATGCATGCATCAATGCAAGAGCTTTCCCTGTATGTGTATATACATAGATGCACGCACACGCACACACTCATGAATTGCCTATCAAAACCACAATCTCGGCAAGCGTAGGGTGCTAACCGCAAGCCCTGAACGTGCGATGCCCACCGTGAGCCGGTCGAGGAGTGCGTCGTGTTGCGGGCAGAAGCCCAGCAAGCGTCGGACCTTCAAAGGTTCGGGTTTATGGATTTGATGATTAGAGTTCAGGGTCTTGCATGGTGTTTTTTTTGGTGGGTTCGGGGTGGATGGTCAAGGGCTGAGGTGAGGCCATCTCCAAACCCTAGTACGGGTTCTATGATTTGGGCTTCTGATGGCATTTGGGCCGCCGAAGGGCAAGTAGGTGAGTCGGTATAGGGCTTTTTCAGGGGTTGTCTGACTTCTTGACGAGGAGCCTAATTGCCCAATACCTAGTTCATAGTGACGTCATGGCGGTTTGATGTTGGAGTTCAGCGGGTCCCCTTCGCCCACCTTCCTCTGCTCCTGAACGACGTCAAAGCCTCCCAGGAATGCAGAGCCGGCGGAGGGGAGGACGGCACCCGTCAGCATGTTCAGAGTACTGGTCTTGCCGGCCTCAGGCATTGGACTTTTCCTGTGCTTTTGGATTGGAGGGGAGAGGGTCCTTGCAAACGGGATTGTGAGGTCCTTGCGAACGGGATTGTGCTAGATTGTGGGCCTTTAGGGTCTTTGAGGGTCCGGTGTTCAGTGTTTGGATTTGGAGTGCAGGGGATTGGGCCGCTGACTTGAGTGCTTCGGTTTCGGATTGCAGGTTGTAGGCTGTAGGCGTTCGGGTGTCAGTTTTCTGTAGCGACAGCATGACTGACGCCATGTTTCACAGTGATTTTCTGAGAAGACGCGGTGAAGCCGAGTCCGAGAGGGTAACTAACTCCTAACATTGGACATGTGGCCATGTCAGACTATTGAATCCACGTAGTTTGTCTAGGGCAAATGGCCTAAATCTGCCCGAAACAGAAGGTAAAACTCACGACGTAAGTCGCCAGGGGCTTAGGGGCCTACGGTCACGGCTTGCGTAAAGCTCACAACACGACTCACCATTCACATCCCTTGCCTGTTGTCAATCCTTATAAAGACCCAAGTCAAGAACAGGACAGAAACCCTAAACACTAAGACATCAAACCGGAACCGAATAACCCGCAATATACAAACCTTGAGCCCTGCAACCCGAAAACAAGACCAAGCCCCAAAACCCAAGCCCTAAACCTGGACGGTAACGATGAACGCCCCAAAGCCTCAGATCCATCCCGAATGCCCATGTGCAGCAGAGCTCTAGACTCGAGACGTTTAGAGCTTTAGGGTTCCGCGAGGTCCACCGCTCGGGTGATTTATGAAGCACTAAACCCGAACGCATGGCTTCAGGTGACGGGTTTGGGAATTCAGGCATCAAGGTTTCTGATCTTCATAATTTCAGTGAAGGCTCCTTTTTATAAAAAGAACCCTTAATGCTCAGATCCTCAGAACGATGCGAATCCTTCAAGCCCTAGCTGCAAGATTGCTATTAACATTGAGAAGCCTAAGTGTGTACACTCAGAAACGGCCCTCTTTACCGTCCATGCATGCTGCGCAGTGAGAACATGCGCTGCTAGCAGCCTCTGAGGGGCAGAACTCTGTGCGTATCGCCGTGGTTATGTCTTCAGGCTCAATTTTTGGCCCAGACCAGAGTAGCAAGTGCCCCAAGCCCTTGACAATGGCGGCCTGAGCCCAACAACACCCAGACCATAGCGCCTCAACTGCGACAGCCCAGAGTCCTTAACTAATGGATATTCAACTCCAGTCGAGTTCTAAAGCGCGTCAAATATTCCGCAGTTCATCCTTAAGTTGTCCCTAAATCCCTATTATTTTGATAGCCGACCGGCTTTGGGAGTTGTTGGGGCCGACCTTGTGTTCGGCACATGAGACATTCGTGACGACGTATACTTACCGAACAATAATACGGAGACGGCGCCTGTACGGCCGTCGTTTGGAAACACTTTTTTGCGTGTGCAACATGGCGGCGGGGCCAAAACTGGAGTGCAACGCGCGTATTGCATGGGAGAGGAGCTTTCGCAGGTGTCAAAAAAACGAGAGGGTTATTTTTGTTTTTGGGAAAATGCATGTTGGCTCAGCGTTTGTGTGATTTCTTAGGTTTTGTTCTGTGGGTAAAGAGCAGCTTTGCTTCTAAATCGTGCCCTCGCCACAGCACTGGCGCGTTTCGCGCTGTATGCATCTTGTATTTTCGGAGGCCTATTTGCAGAGAGGGCTCTTGGCAAGGGACACTCACAAAAAGAAACGCGGCAAAATCGTACAGCGCAGGGGCGCTTGAAACCTGTTTTGTGCGGATACAGTAATGTTACAGGTGGCGAGCTTAGATGGCAATGCCTTGAAGCTTCTATGAAAACCACCACCACCACCACCACCACCACCACCACCGACAACCGCAACAACAACAATGCAACATCCAACAACAAAGCCCACCACCACCACCGCCACCAC